CTTTAAGTACTGAAAGTTTTTACAATTTTTAGTGTAGTCGAGAATATTTGGGATAATTTCTTCTATGTTGGACAGATCAGTAATTCCAAATATATAATAATAATGCATTAGTCTTATAGTCACTTTTCTAGATGCTCAAAGACACTTTACAATTTCATGCTTTATTCTTTCACTCCTCAGTCACATTTGGTGGTGAAGTGTGGCCAAATAAATGTAACTAGTATATAAAGCTTTTAGAACAATCTAGTGGAAGAAATAATTAGATTTTATGGTTGAAATGTTGTGGAGTAAAAGTAAAATGTTTTCAGTAAAAATACTTCTCAAAAACTGTACTTGAGTACAGTACTCAAGTACATTTAATTTGMTCCTGCTGACCTCTGTACATCAGTCACTGGATTGATTAGGTACAAAGAGGAAACAGAGAGGATGTTAACATCACTCACTGGTCTGACAATAACAACTTGGAACTGAACACAAGGGAAACTAAATAGATGGTTATAGACTTCAGGAAGAAACAACACTAGCTGTGTTTCCATTGACCATGAAAATGCGCAAATTAGAATTTCAAAAATAAATTTTCTCAATGGAAACGTCAATTTCGAAAAAAAAAAAGTTTTTCGACAAAATGGTTTTGCGATAGGATGAGGTGGTTTTTCGGCCGTATCGAAATCGGTGTATTTCGCAAAACTGCAATGGAAACACTTTTTTCATATCACAGGAGTCACGTGATCAAGAACCGGCTGTTTCTACTGGTGAAAAAGACGAAGAAGAAGACAACAAGAAATAAGTAGTGAAGTAGTAAAATCACCGAAGTAGTAAAAGAAAGTAGTAAACTCACTGACTACGATTTCCCAAAAAAACTGTATAAGTAGCTTCTCCTATGTATAAGGGGCTTGTTGCTGGAAAGCCTCGATAATACGCCGACGTCTCCTCTGATGGCTGATGATGAGCGCTAGTGTCGTGGTAGCAATARGCTATGTGTTTACATCCATTGCCACCATGTTTGTAATGACTTAAAGCCAGAACAAACATATTCACACATGACTTTAATTGCATTTCTTACTTAATGGAAACACCGCAATTGTGAAATTGTGTTTTTCGACTTTAACAGAATATCGACAAAGTTTTGTGCACATTTGCAATGGAAACGCAGCTACTGATTAGACTTCTTAGACCATTATGAACTTATTTTTGGTGTATATTTGCAATAAAACAGAGAACAGCTAGCTTGGTAAAAACCAGACCCTGTCCTTCACTTTGCTTCGTACGAGGGTCTGGACTCTCGGCTATAGGGAAGCGATTCTTGCTGGAGGCGTGGCCTCTGCTGAAGTTTAAAATGATTGGATCTGTTGGCTGCGACATATGTGTGCCAGCTCCACTGTGAAGGCAGCTAAGCTAAGAAGCTATGTGGAACATGCGTGCACTGTAAACAATCCTACTGAGAGGAGAAAATTTCTGAGCCAAACGAGATGGCTGTAAATGAGAGCTGCTGCTTTGTCAGACAAATTTAATTTAACTTGGAAGCCTTATCAACACGGACTGGCTTCATTCACCTCCTCTACTGCCGTATGCTAAACTAACTAGCAGACATGAAGAAAATTGACGTCGTTCAAAGCTCRGCCTTCTGTTCTCTGATTGGCCCAGGCAAAATAAACTACAAGAGACACTGCGCAGAAAATTGACATTCTGCTCTCTGAATGGCCCGAATAAAATGCTCCCAAAGAAATCCTTGTCTATGGGAGAAATCCCAGATGGAGCAGTGAAGGGAAACTAGAATTGAGCAGAACTGCGTAGGAAGGCAAGGGCCAGGCTAGAGAACAGCCTGTGAARGACACCAAATCTGAATATGTTTCTAAATAAATTCTGGACTGTGACCATCCACATGGGAACCTCAGAGTCTCTTCTCTGCATTCTGCAGATGARGTGGTTCTGCTGACACCTACAAAACATGACCCGCAGTATGTACTGGAGAAATCTGCAGCCAAGTGTGAACCAGAACCACTGCTCTTGATGGGAAAAGGTTGAAGTTCCCTTCAGGTCAGAGGTGAGTTTCTGCCCCAAGTGGAAGAGTTCATGTAGGAGTCTTGTTCATGAGTGGTGGAAGGATGGAACGGGAGACGCATCAATGAACTGGACCCTTGTCCACTATCTGTTGTGACAAAGAAGGAACTAAGCTGAAAGGCAAAGCTCTTAATTTGCTGATCCATCTATTGCCGTGTTTCCATCCAGTTTTAATTTGAATTTTGAGCAAATTTTTTAAATTTCGCAAAAAGGAAAAAAAAATGAAGAAATGCAAATCAGACGTTTTTCCATCAACTGGCTTGAAGCAAATAAATTACGTCAGATGCATGCATGTACACAGCATGCACATGTAAACATACACATGTAAACAGGAAGTAAAAGTCACAAACTCGCAGGTTCCACACATCTCAGGACCATGGAGAGAAGTTATCAGGAACGTGTTGCTACRGTCAGGAAAGTTGTAATTATTCTGTCATTTCAWCTAGTTCTGGCGATGTTYCATGCTGTCTGGAGACAGAGAGAAAGAAATGTAATTCTCTTCATGTTACAGGAATAACTGAGAATACACCGACAGCGGGAGGAGGGTCCTGCTGCCAGTCACGGCTGCAGTCGTTCTGGTATTGGTACCGTTCAGACAGCGAGAACAGCTGATCAACCATGTGATGTAAATGTTCGCTACGTCAGAACTTATTCGGTAAATGTCTTTCCATCTCCCCTTTTGTGCATTAACTCTTTTTCGAAAAAAAACAAAAACCACCTCAAGCGAGCGTATCAACTTTTTTGTGAATTAGAGGAAGTTTATTTGAATCGTGCCGTTTCCATTCACCTTTTCTGATGCAATACTTCAAAATGTGCATAAAAAATGCTGATGGAAACACGGCTTATGTTCCAACCCTCACTATGGTCATGAGGTATGGATCAGGACCAAGAGAAGGAAATCCCAGATAAAAGCATCTGAGGGGATCTCGGAGTGAGCTTCTCATCTTTCACATTTAAAATTCTAAAATGGTTTAAGCACCTGATTATGATGACTTCTAGGCACCTCTCTTTGGAGGTTTCCTGGACTTATCCCACTGAAAGGAGACCCCAGGACAGACCTAAAATCTTCTAGAAGGATTATAAATCCTCTTTGTTCAGACACAGAGGAATCCCCTAGAAGTAGCTGTAGAGTGCTGGGGAGAGGGATGGACAGGTTACTTTCTTGGACCTGTTCCCTCTGTGACCCAACAATGGATGACTGGAAGCTAATGGATGGATGAACTGTAAAACAACTGAAAGACAAACTAAAGCAAACTATCAGCTACTTATAAAATACTGATTTAAAGATGCAATAAGAGAATATTTTACAGCTCATTCCAGCTGGATTTTGTCAAATCAACGAGAAACAAGTTAAAAAAAAATACTTTATATCAGTAAAGATGAACATATCAATTTGTAATGAAAAAAAGTTTTTTGATTACTAATTGTAGCTTTCTCATTAGTGTTGTGTCTCACACACACCTGTTGGCATAGACACAGATGTTGTCAACGAGAGGACAGTTCTTCAGCGCAGCCTCCACCTTCCCCAGAGACACATATTCCCCCGCCTGTAGCTTCACCAGGTCCTTTTTACGATCTGAAAACACAGCTGATTTAATGAAGTGCACATCCTGAAACGAAGGGAGTGCGTGCGTGCGCGCGTGCACGCACGGGGCAGATGAAACTGAGTATATGTGATCAGTGTCATCCAGATAAGAGCAAAGCTGAGGAGGTTGGCTCACTGAAATATAAACAGCACTGTGGGGTAATTTTAGGAAGATAAATAAAATCTGATTAGCACAAAGCTTCCCTGCTGGTCTGATAAATGAAAAGTGAAGCAGAGAGGTTTTCTGGAGTAAAGCCTAGGATGCAGTGCAAACGATTTCAACAATCTGCACGTCGCTCTTTTTGTGTTGTCTCACCAATGATCTTGAGGCAGCCGTCTTCGTGAAATTCTCCGATGTCTCCGGTACAGAACCATCGCTGGTGGTTCACATCTACAAAGTAGTCCTCTTGGTTTTTTGACTCACTGTTATAGTAACCCATGGTTACGTTGGGTCCACCGATGAGAATCTCTCCTCTTGGATGAGGCTTGTCAGTGCTTCGATAGCCACCTTTAAAACAGTCAAATTTGAACTCAAAAACAGCTGGAAAGCAATTCACCAGGGGCCTCATGTACAAAGACTTGTGTGGATTTCTTACTGAAACCTG